GGGTAGACAGCAGCCTGATTGCAATAATCCCTCCGTAGATGTATAGTATGAATCTGGCATTCGTGACTACTGTAACCTACGTTTCTTTAAGTCTCGTTATTTTTTTAACATGTCTGCATGTCTCTGGTATGACACCTATGATGAAGAACCTATAGCTGAAAGTGAAGCCTGTAGTTTCTCAAGCTCCACTTTTGACAATTATTAGATATGGTTTATTTAAACAGATATTTTGTTGTGGTAATGTAACTCATGTGCATATTGAGTTATTAGTTTTGTTTTATGTGTTGTTTTATGTATTGTTTTGATAGTTAGTTTTGTTATATATTTTGCTTTATGTATCACTTTAAAATTGGATTTGTTTTAAGGATTACTTTGATACTTTGGTTTGATTTAAGTATCGTTTGATGCGAAGTTTTGTTTTATATTTTGTTTCAAGTATCGTTTTCATACTTAGGTGGATTTACCAAAGTGGATCATGTGATACCTTTAAATAGTTTCGTTTATTGTAGACAGGAACGGATTTGTATATTTAAAGCCTAAGTGATTCTGCAAGGAACACTGTAGACTTTAATACAAAGTATTTCAAAATACTTGATTGAACTGTGACTTATTTGTTTTTCTGTACACCTTTTAAGCCTCCCATAGCTCTACGTACTTAGGTGCTGTCCGATAGAGTAGGCCACCTGCCAACTATTGTACCTGTTAACCATAAAGTGAATAGCACCTTGTGAACACCTTATACCTTTTTGCAAATTGCGGACGATATCTAGAGCATCAGGCCATACGTCATATGCTGCCTCAGAAGATGATGGACAGGATGGATATGAGTCAATAATGCTAAAATATTTGATCAGAAATGGTCTTGACCTAATTACAATATAAGGACTACTATAATCAACACAGAAAACCAGTTTAGAGGATACAATTAAGACATATAGTCTGAATATTGCTGTGCAATAACTAGACCACAACAACCTCTAAGAAATTGGATTATCATAAAATGAGACTATTCACAATCATGCCAAGAATTTGAAATGGAGCTTATAAACTGTACCTTTCCCAGTCAATGTAAATACACAACACATTTACATCTCCTTCATCAAACTGGACACAGTTAACAAATTCTACTCACAAGCAATAACTGCTTCTCCATTGATTGAACTCCACAGAGACCATGTATACCAACTTGCAGAAATAATGGATTCATAATTGCACTACAGTCATCTTCAGTACCATTCCAAATGGACCAGTTACTCTACACAATACAATCAAGGGTTGTATCTTGCTATAAACCTCGCCAACATACAAAATGTCACCCAGTGGTTTAATCAATACTATGTCCACAAACCGGAAACCAACCACAGAGGACCTTTCTAAGAGTCAAGAAGATGAATGGATCCCGGATAGGCCAACCAGCCCTACAGCTGAGGTTATGAAATGGGAATTGGTAGTTGACAAAGAAAGTAGACAGAATAAAGAGCAAAGCCATGCCTTATATAGCTACATGGTATGTGGGGACAATGAATGGATAGTATCCAGGAATGCCAAGATGAGTCATAACTGGTTCCCGACTAAGAGACATAAGACAAAGGCCAGAGATAAGGAGGAGGAAAAGCATTCTATGGACAAAAGAACAAGCTTCAGCCTCGACATAGCCTCGACACTACAGAATCAACTGGCACAACTGGGGCATAATGTATTACTCCTATCATCAATGACAGAAGGTGGAGGAAGCAAGAACAAAAAGAGCTCCAAGCATGGCACTTTGAAATGGGGGGACAAAAAACTGTATACTACCAAACAAGAAATATTGGAAACCATCACCAGGCAAAAGAAAAAGAGTGTCTTGCAGGAAGAAACAATTGGGGAGTTCAAGAGAGAGAGGTCTCAAATGAACACAAATGTCATGGTAATTCGAAGAGTATATAACCACGAGATTCGCTGCATCAAAAGAAAAATGAAGAAATCTGAAATGGAAGTGACCCAGGTGCGAGAACTCCTAAGGGCTGCATACGAAGCAGCCAATCACAATGTAAGTTGGATGTAACATGTGGTAGATAGGATCTACAGAGGAAAGTACCAAGCTCAAACTGAGTCAGGTTTAGGGAAAGAAGAGCTAATATCACAAATGTGGCTTAGCAAGGAACAGATATTGACATGACTCATAATTAAAAGTCCTACATGTGGTATTGCCTCGCACATATGACACATTCGAGTCATATGGCCTGTTATGTTATGATTTGATATGTTTCGCAAATGACTTGATTATGAGTCATGGGACTTGGTCCTAGCCTGTATGCCTCACAGGCACGCTATACAGGTATGCCTTTTGAATATGATTCATGTTTCACACATGACTTTATTAGGAGCTCATGGGCTTTGCCAATGTAACTACTGGCGGTCATATACTTGTTTATCGTGTTATGATTGGTTTGTGAGTTTTTGCACATGATCTTGCTACAAGGTTATGGGATTTGAGTACGTGAACACTTTGGTCATATGGCTAGTTTGTTATGATTTGGCCTTCGCATATTTGACCATATAAGGTTACATGACTTGGTTTGAGCAGAGTACTAGATTAGGAGGCTGGTGCAGCAGAGGAGGATAGGCTCTTCACACTTTGTTCTAACGATATTTCCTACTTATTCCTTTGAAGAATATAAAATATCTCTATACTGTTTATGATTATCATGACCTTTATTGCTGTTATGACAAGATAGCTCTATATGAGGTGGAGTTAGAGAAAGCTTACAATAGGTATTACTGATTGAAGACAACTCTCTTGTTCTATCCAGAATAAAGGCATAGGCCTAGAACTATGGTATAGCTAAAAGAAGAAGAAGCAGAGAAGTCTTGTTCTCTATCACCAAGAACCAAATCTCTGAAGAGGTATCGTTACAGTGAGCTATAAGTACTAAATCTTCTGAACTGGTCTTTTTACTGCCAGAAAGGGCTTACCAAGTTCATTGATTGTACCAAAGCCTTTGTCCTTGTTCCAAAAATACTGATCAATCATGGGCAGAAGAGATACAAATATCTGTCATAAAGACTGAGTTGCAACAAGAATCCTACCATAATGGCCATGTTAGAATCTAAGAGGAGGTCAAGCGCAAAAACAAATAAAGGCGTATTATTCAAAAAGGTGGGACTCTTACAGTTGAGGCTGGACAGGTTAAACAGAAGGAGAAGTTTAATAATGGGAAGGCAGCAGCAATTAAGAAGTCACAAAGCAATATCCAAGTAGCAGCCAATAAAGCAAAGGCATCCTTGCACCATCATGGACTTGATATGCCTAAAGTTGGGAGGCAGAGAACTATTCAAGTTAGGTTGATTAATGCTGCAGGTGGGATAGTTCCACCTGCTTGTGATTGCAGTTCTTAATCCTTAGAAAAATCCCACGGCAGAGTATCTTGAGTCTTTGCATCGTCCACCTGATCTACTACAGGCTCTCTTTTGCGGAAGCAAGTTGCTGCAAGTAAGACAGATGTAATTGATGCTCCATTACTTGACCTAGATGGTGGAGCTGATGAGTTTGAAATGTTTACAACAAGGCAACAATTAGAACAGGCTAGCATAGAAAATACGGATAATAGGAATGCTGATGAGAATTCTGCAAGTCAATCTGATTCAGACCTCTGTGTATCAGGTAATTCTATCACAGGAAATGTTAACTCTGTAGCTTTTAACTCAGATTTGTAGCCTACAGGGCAGTAGAGGTATATTACTAAAAGCAAGTATTTTCTAAGCTTATCTAGTTAAAAATAAAAAAGCTCCAGAATGTAACACTTGCATGAGCATTATTAAATACTAGTGGAACTAGCTACTATGACTTGGGAGTGATTGTTGTTACGGGAGGTCAGCGTTGCCGTGTCGGTTAGGGGACTTTCTACTAGGAAAAAGAAAAAGGTCCGGGGCGTCACACTTGCTTGAACGTCACACTTGCTTTTCCCGACTATGAGCGACAGAGAAATATGAGGGGAACCGGCTACTAACAAGTCAGCAATTAGAGGGATCAATGATACGGCTCCGGAGAGAGGCCTTTGAACCGTGTTATAAGATACCACCTCCTGAAAAATGCCCCTTAAGTGACGCCCTCAATCTCCAGCAGCAGCCACAACCGTAGGTTCTTTAATACAATAAGCAATATGTCCCCAGGCATCCTGGCGTACCGTTAAAACCCCTCCTACAAATTCTGTTAGACAGGAGCAGCATACCGTAAAAACATGAACAATTGAACCGCGTTCTGTGAGGTCCAAAATTGCCGTCCCTGGTTATGAAAAGAAATGCAGCAAAACCACAGCACCATACCCCCTTCTGAGACAGAATATAAAACACAACTCCCTTGACCTTACTGAGAGAGGGAAGTCCAACAACATAGCAAACGGTTCAATTATTCAAGTTCTTACGATACCGTAGGATCATGTCGTAAAATAATCTATCATCCAGGCCTTTCCAGACTGTTATGAGAAGTCTACCATTACAACAGAAAGTCCGAGGGGAATAAGGTTTTGTGAAAACAGGGTGTCATCACTCCATATAAAGATCTAATCACGTCATTCCCATCACGCTAATCCATTGCGGTGGGATCTAGCCAAATAGGGACCGTTGCCAAGTGGGTGAGTCTAATTTGTGTTGGACTATACAATATGCGGAAGGAAAAGGATCAAAGCATCAAAGCCCGCAGGATATCAAACCGAATATGTCTTGTTAATTGGCCAGAGAGCCGCGTTGTGCTGCACTGGTGATCCAAACCTTCTCCAAAGGCGGTATAGTCTTGTGTGTCACTATAGTGGTATCCATAATGGTCTCTATGTGGCCAGATTGTGCTGTAAAAGGTTGACAACACTAGACCTACCCCCAACCATCGCACAACACCACCACAACCAACCGCAACCACAACCACGACCATAATCACAACCACCAGCACCTTAAACCACTATCCCGGCGACAACCACCACTACCACCACAAGCCCCCTCCTCCCCCTTCACCGCCAACCAAAATGGCAAACTCAAAGTACCCCCCTCCATAAATATTATCCAACCGACGAACTAACTAACCCTCCCAACCTAGGTACGATTACGTCCGTGGCTTCGAAGCCCCTCATCACCTCCTGCGCGACACTTATATAATCCTCCGCCTTGACGGCCGCTGCTTCACCAAATTTGCCGCAAGTCACCACTTCCAAAAGCCCAACGATCCACGCGCCCTCCACCTTATGAACGCCAGCGCCAGCGCCACCATGCGCTTCATCCCTGAAATAGCCTTAGCCTTCGGCCAGTCGGACGGATTCTCCTTCTTGCTCCCGCGCGAGTGCGCGCTCTTTGATCGGCGCGAGGAAAAGCTTTTGAGCATCGTGGTATCCACATTCACAGGGTGGTAGGTTTTCCTCTGGCCTCAATACTTTGCCGGCGAGACGGGAGGGGAAGAGCAGCGGCCTTTCATGGCTCCGCCCAGCTTCGACTGCAGGGCTACTTGTTACCCGCATGTGGAGAATGTTAAGCATTATTTCTCTTGGAGGCAGGTTGACACTTATAACAATAATCTATATAATACTACTTTTTGGGCTCTTGTGCTCAAGGGTGGTTTGAAAAGGCATGAGGCTGCCGAAGAGTTACAGGTATGTCCCTCCTATATTTTTGATGTTTTATATTTTATTTTTATATATTTCCTGCTTGCTTGGAGGGAGAATGGCGACTAACTATCAGGTGGGAACCTGCCGATCTGTTAGGGAACCTCCTCGGCGGACAAGAATGAAATATTATTCTCACGGTTCGGGATTAATTACAATAATGAACCGGCCATATACAGGAAGGGAAGTGTGGTATATAGAGACTATCGAGCCCTGAAGGACAAGAAGAAGGGCGCACCGGCAACGGAAACAGAGGGACCTAGCACCTCTACTGAACCGTCAGAGCGGAAAGAGCAGCAGAAGCAGCAAGAGGAGGAGCATGAAACCGCGGGGATCCCAAAGTTCAAGTCAAAAACACCGAGGAAGAAGGAAGAGAAGCGCACGAGAAAGACCAAGATTGTAATAGACCACGTTGACATAATCGGTGAAGGGTTTTGGGAGAGACGGCCTTGGCTGTTAGGAAGTGGCAATTAAAGGATGGATGGGGCACATGGGACACAAGAGCCAGTTGGATATCACAACGCGTGGTAGGTTTGATATGGAGAAAATGTCACCAATGTGTCGAATGTATGTCTGGTGGGGGACAGTGAGACTCCCAGACCATTGGCCATGTATATAAACAGCTCTATCGACACCTCTCACGTCCGTAAGCACCATGGCCTGGGGCCTAAGAAGCAATGTACAGTGCACGGGACATTGAACAATTCAAATCTCCCTTCTATGAACCATACTATTCTCATCCCCAATCCATCTTGACATGCCATTTGGCGCCCAATTGCTCTCACAGAATTCCCAACATTTGGTGTTGTAATAAGAGTTGCGAATATGCATCGGTCATGTCATTAACTACAGGACAATGTTTTTGGTATGAATTCATCACAGGTTGAGCTCACCACACGGTTGACTACTGTAGAGGTTCCTCGGAAACTGTATCATAGTACATATTCGGTTTTTCTTCCTCGCGTTTCCTTCCTCTTTGTTGCTACGTTGTGTAGTATAGTTGTTGTTGATTTTCATTCTCTTACATGAAGGACATGTCATCGATGATTGTAGCGCGCTCTCTTGTACGATAAACAGGGCCCAATATCCCTCCGGTAGAAGTACAATCAAGCAAGTAGTGCAACCTCAAACATGAATTACAACATTTGGAAACTATCAAGCGACGAGCGAGATTTGATGATACGGCGAGCGACAATAAGTGACAAATACAACATCACATAGATAACGCTGGTACACAGGGTGTGCGGACCGCTAGTAGCCTAGCCACATGGAGTAACATTATCTGAATCCCAGTGCTGCAACGGCTCCCGCCCTGATTCTCCTACCCCACGATGTAGACCGGTGTTTCCAGTGGGCCAGGCTGCTGGTAGGCCGTAGGCTGGGCTGGGCATGTCGGACAGGTGTCATTGAAAAACTATGGTCAAAGTATTGTTATTACATGCCGGGGAAAGAGCAAAGGTGTGGGAATGGAATAAATATGGGGTGGTTTAGATACTGAACATTGTATTTTGTAGCTTATCCTGTGTATCTACGAAAACTAAGGTACTGTATATAGACAAACCGTTGGTGTCTACGATGCTCGGTGTTCAGGCCAGTGGGGACGAAGAAAATCAAACAAACACACCCGCTCATTCTGCTATCCCAGATGAATGTTTCTCCTAGGGATCCTAAGGGTGGTTCAGATTTGATGCATTCATGAGAATATTGCTGATTACCAGTAGTTAGCCATGTTTTGCAACTTTATATTTCTACCAGAAATGAATCCTTTGACACTAGAGCTACTGCCACGCTGAGTAATCATGCGCGGACAGGATTTAGTTGACAGATGAAACCTCGGTACAACAAAAGCCATATTGAACAGAAGTGGTTAAATACACTCACCCAGCACTCCTTCATCCAATATCAGTTGATCCACGATTTAGGTAAGCACTACTACGAGTTCTTGTAATACAGATAACGTACTCATCCAACAGTTTGTCATCCACCCTCAGTTAGCTCACAGAGTACTTACAGCCACTTGGCAGAGGTGTTCGTGAAACAGGTTTCCAGTGGCTAAGCTACCTCCCGCCTCGCCAATATGCCAGCTTACAACGAGGATGATCGTGATCGTAACTGTTCAACCTCTTATCACCAACTAGTCATACAATTTCCACCAACTGAAGCCACATTTTCACAATTAATTAATTCCCACAATCTTTTTACCAATGGTTAACCAATCTGGAAATAGCAAGCATGTGGTAAGAAAAAGACTCCCACTGAAAGCCTCCTGGAGACAAATGAGCCTAGCAGAGAAGGGAATGATAATTGACTTTTTCTACTGCCTGTGGAATATTAGTTTGGCAGCTCAAATCATTGGACGTATTTGGACAACAGTTAACAGCTTCCTTGTCTGGGCATGTGAGCTTCAATCACTTGAAAGTTTTCCTTGCCCTGATCACGTGCCTATGTGGAGTCGTCAGCAGCTTTGCATAATTATTAAGACTGGCAAATCCAAGCAGAATATGACGAGATCTTCTTTCTCAGGTAAATATGCACCCAGCGTTCCTCTTGATACAGGTAAGTCTATGCTACCTTGGGTGTTATAATAAGATTCTCTAATATATTAGCAGGCAGTGGACCACGTACTTACAGAGGCAAATATCAAAAAATAGCTAGCCAAGTCAAGATCTAGTCTAAAGCCAGACCCTGTTGCTAATAGATTGAAGTGAGCAACAGTTTATAAGGACTTGACAGTTGAGGGTTTTGAGAAAGTGATTTGGAGTGATGAGTGTAGTGTGGAGAAATCCAAGGATCCAATACAACAATGGGTGTCGAAAAAACCTGCAGAGAAATAGTTGGCACATTGTATACATTCAAAGGAGAAGGTTAAGGAAATATTACCCATGGTTTGGGGATGCTTTTGGGGTAAGAGACAATGTCCCTTAGTTCCAATTACTCAAACTATCAACAAAAACAGGTATATCAGACTCTGGAGAAGGTATCTTTTTCCAATTATTCATTAAATGATGTTTTTTGGTATGTAAGATATCTTGTTTCAGCAAGACAATGCTCCTGTTCACAAGGCTTATAGTGTAATGGATTGGCTGGGAAGAAACTGTATTGAAGTTGTGGAACACCCCCCTTTTTTCCCAGGTTTAAATCCTGTTGAGCATGTATGGGTTGAGCTTGAAAAGCTATTGCACCAGCGGTATCCAAGGATTGGAGATCCCCCAGGAGGAAAAGAGGCTGCCAGGAGAAGGCTTGCACAAGTATTACCATTGGTTTGGGAAACAATCCCCAAGGAGTTCTTTGAGAAGTTGTGGAAATCAATCCCTGATAGGGTAGCTGCAGTATTGGAATCAAGGGAAGGTTATACAAGGTATTAGCTATTTCATTATTTAATTTATACTACTAGTACTTCAATATTCTCATGAGTTGATCATTCACCACCTGTGTTGATCGTTGATACTGAATGTTGATCGTTTACGCCTGTTGACAACCCCAAGGTTGCCCCACCACACGGCCCGAGACCTACTATGGCACCACCGCAATTTTACTTTGTCTCAGATCACGAACACTTCTACCGAGTGGCTGTAAGAGCCACAGCCATTTATATACTCGCTTAGCGTCCTATCTTTGCTTCAGATTAGTTCCAGGTCAACGTCGCCTGAGGGATTCATTGATAAAACAAAGCGGGAATACCGAAGGGCCAACCTCAATTGTGAGTGGTTCCGGGATCGCGTTGTCCAGCTGCACCAAACGATGACTTGGTCTGCCGTTCTGCTGGGATCTTCATCTGGATTGCGATGAGAGTTGAGAGCCATTGTAAGCCATGTGGAGAGCCAGGGCCTGTACCTTGTACTCACGGTATTAAGGTAAATGGACTCTACAGGCTTATTGGCTCGTGTCCGATGTATTGCAGGTTCCGGGGGTGGTTTCGTAGTAGCTCAGCCTGTCCGTCGGGGATTGTGAGCGATCATGGAGTATCACCCGGTATCAAAAGAAAGCTACTTCACGATGCGCAATAACCTCACCAGATGAGCATACTAAGCGCGGTGGACGAAATTAAAAAGTAGAACGATCGACGCCCTGCCGTAGGTAACCCAGCCACCTTCTAGCTCAAAGCCCGTTCTCTATTCCCTAAACACAACTCCCCATATTTTCGATAACTCCCACATCATCTCTGCGAATGAAATTCCTCACATGCGAGATGTTGCACCCCTCGCAGCGTCATGATTGTTGATGCGCCGCTGGAGAAAAACAGTAGTTATACACTCGTCTTTCTAAAGGGTTTCTTTACTACGGGAGGTTCCGCATTGTTACCGGTAGGGTCGCGTGACGATAGTTCCCCGTTCCTCGGATTTTCAATCGCTCACCGTCCTCTGGCCAAGCTCTGCCGCTACCAACAAATGCTACAAACATCGGTAAATGTGCCGCACCGACCACCATTGGCCTAGTGCATCTGAAGCCCCATGGGAAATCTGTTAGACCAGCTTTGCAAAATCAGTCGTGTAAACGCGGAGAACTCCATATCCAGATACAACCTCAGAGGTGGTTGAGTAATTGTCAGCTGCATACCAGTAATCTATGAGGGCATACTTCGAACTTTTCTTCCTCCATATCTGACTACATCTATCGCCAATTGGTCGTTTGCAAATGCTCCCACCGATTGATTGTCGGTATAAACTAAAGAAATATAAAAGAATTTGGTAACGCGAACTAGGAGAGAGGAGTTTAAATCGGAATGATAGATAAAATTCAGCGAGAATTTCACCGGGTCACACAATTGAAAGGTCAAAATTGACATAAGATTTCTAAGTAGATAATAGTGTCCTTTTTACATAAGATGATCCTCCTCCAATACTGTGCCTGTGTGGATGAAAACTTTCATCTCCGGTAAGGGGGAGGAAGGTTTTCTTCCACTGAAACCAGAAAGAAACAAGAGAGATCTTCACAGCAAGGAGATAAAGAGGAAACGGTACGGAGACAACAAGGAGGTAACATTTTTAGTCATGAAGTAAGGTATAACGGAAATTTCTTAAAGATCTGATAGGAAACATATAGAAGGTATGAAATGGAAACACAGGGACAATATTCAAACATAGACCTCAGTCAGCCTAACACTATAATCCAGGAAACATTGGGTATATACGGCCACTCACCTTGACCAGACGATGTTCATTTAATTACGAACACTATGGCTCTTTGGTAATTGAGATATATCTTCGAATCAATAATCTTCACAAGGAAACCAGACTGATGTTGAACTATTTCTCGGACACCAGGGAAGTGCACAAAGTCCTTAATTATCGTGTGACAAATGACTTTGGGGCTGGATTTAAATTCTCGAACTTCCGAGGGTCTTAGAGCTACCACAACCACAACCGGAGTACATCGGGTTCTATATAATTTGGCGATACTTCCTTAAGGATATCAATGTAATATTCTATTCGACTAAAACGCACTGGAGGAAATCGCTATCCTTCAAGAGCTCG